CAGAGTGGTAGCGTGGTCATGTCAGCTCTCAGCAGTGGATTTCTCCTAGGCTCCGGGAGGCTCAGGAAAGGTGCAATGCTCCCATCGGGGCACGAGGCGGAGGCACAGCGCTGCAGCTGCAGCCACCGTGCCTCCAGGGCACGGCTTTCCTCTGCCGGCGGCGAAGGGAACGGCATCGGCTGCGGCTGAGAGCTGCGCGCTGCTGGCACGGGTCGGGGCTGGGGAACCGGGGAGATTCAGTGCAGAAAAAGCGGTGTTGCATCTGTGTCTGAGAGGAGAGCTTGGTTTTCAGTGTGGTGCAGCGTGTGCCCTTGTTTCCTCGTGACATTCCTTGTTTTTCTCCCCACAGAGGGATGTGTTGGAGGCGGTGGGCTTGGATATCTGTGTTTTGGGCGCACTGAGCGTGGCACACGGGGGTCATCTGTACTGAGGGCACTGGGCTCACAGCTCCATCCTGGTGCTGGGCTCAGGACCCTCCTGCAGCTGGGAGGGGCTGAAGGGGGTCCTGCTTTGTCCCCAGGTGTGGGTGCCCAGAAGGATCCGGACTTCAAGCTGCAGCAGCCCCAGGGCCAGGTGGTGGTGATCAAAGGGGAGATACTGACCCTGAACTGCACAGTGTCTGCATTTCATCCTATTGGCCCCGTGAAGTGGCTGAAGGGCTGGGGCAGCAGCAATCAGACCATTTATGATCAGAAAGGCTCCTCCCCACGTCTGATGAGAGCAGTCAATGGATCCGGCACAGACTTCACCATCAGCATCAGGGATGTTCGTCTTGAGGATGCTGGCACCTATTACTGTGTGAAGTTTAGAAAAGTCATCTTTGGAGATGAGCTGTTTAAGAGTGGTGGGGGCACGGAGGTGTTGGTGCACGGTGAGTGGATTCCCAGCCTGTCCTGGTGGGCTCTCCTCTGGGGCTGGGATGGGCAGGATGCTCCCTGATGGGCCAATGCTTCTCCCACAGCCAGACCCTCCGAGCTGACCGTGTCAGGGCCGAGTCGCCGAGCGGAGCCAGGGCAGTCGGTGTCCTTCACCTGCAGTGCCAGAGGGTTCTTCCCCCGTGACATCCAGGTGCAATGGCTCAAGAACAACGTTCCAGTTCAGGCTGTGCTGCCCCACATCACCTCAGAGCAGTCACATTCCTCCTACAACATGTCCAGCACCGTACAGGTGACGTTGACCAAGGACGACGTGCGCTCACAGCTCACCTGCCAGGTGCAGCACAGCACGTTGGCAGCCCCACTGAGGAGGACGTACGCGCTGGGCCAGGCCCTGCGAGGTGAGGCTCACAGCCCCGGGGCTGGGGCAGGGCTGAGCCGTGGGCTCAGGGACGCCGGCTCCAGGCGCTGCTTCTCTTCCCAGTTCCCCCCAGCGTGTCTGTGGTCGCTGCACCGCCGGGCGCCGTGGAGGTGAACAAGACGGTGACCTTCAGCTGCCGCGTGCAGGGCTTCTACCCGGGAGCTGTGAACGTCACCTGGCTGGAGAACGGGACGGGGCTGAACGCGGGGAGCACCACGCAGCCAGCAGAGACCCCCCAGGGCTTGTTTGAGCTGAACAGCACGGTGATGGTGCAGGCGGTGGAGGAGAAGCGCGGCTCCAGCTTCACCTGCCGGGTGGTGCATGAGGACCAGGAGCCCGTCTCCAGCACGGGCACCATGCAGGTGGCTGTCCCAACCCCAGAGATAATCGACAGCAGTTCCATCGGAGACAGCAGTGCGTGAGAGCTGCAGGGTGCATGTGGGGAGGGGTGGATGGGAGGTCACCCCCGGGACAAGCTCAGAATCCCACCAGAGTGTGGGTTAAGGTCTTTGTACTGAGGGTGCTGCTGGATGTGCCCCTCAGTGTGTGCAGTGTCACCACGCTGCCCCTGGGGCTTTCAGGTCCACAGTGACAATTCTCACATGAGGTTCCTATTGTAGAAAGTCTCATCTATGTGGCTGTGGGAGTGGTGTGCACTGTGCTGGCGCTGCTGGTGATTGCAGTTCTCTACCTCATTCGGACAAAGCAGAGCAAGGGTAAGGATAAATAAACTGTGTGCGTGGCATGGGGGGGAGCTGCTGAAATGAAGTCAAAGTTCTGAGAAATGCAGCATGTAGGCTGGCATGCCTGGGGAGGTGGGGGTTCTCTGAACTGTTTCCTTCCTAAACTATTTCTCCCCTGTCAGGTAAGAGCTCTCCGTCTGCCAGGTGAGTGTACATCTCTGTGCTTTGCATCTGACCCTCCCCCCCCAATTTACTCCATCACATGAGAAGAGATACATGGTGCACCTGACCCCTTGTTTCCCCTTGCAGGTTACACGAACCAGAGAAGAGCAGCGGAGCCACCACCACCCAGGTGTGTCACCAACCTCGGGGACTGGGGTGGGGAGCAGCCCCCAACTATGGGACTGGAGTGTGGAGAGGCTGTGCACAGAGTGTCTCAGTGTCTCCACACTGTGGCCAAAGGGAGGAGGAGCTGCAGTACTTCCCAGCATCATTTCTGCCTTTGCCTTCTCTCCTCCTCCTCCCGGGAATGCCTGGCTTTAGGACTGGAAGCAGTTGCACCATAGGCACGAGGCAGTTTGTGGGGTGGTTTTGCATTTGGTGACGTGGCTGCGTGCTGTGGGATGGACCCAGCGCTGCTGCATGGGCAGCGCAATGCGCAGGCAGTGTCGGCGCTTCGGAGAACATTTTGGCACGGGTGGGAAGGGAACTCACTGTGCACTTTGCAAAACAAAACCCTTTGGTGTCTCACCCAGGAGTCTGATCCCAACAACCTGACCTACGCCGACCTGAATTTTGCCAAAGAGAAGAAGAAGAGCATCCGCCGCATCGTCGAGCTGAGCCAGCAGTCGGAGTACGCCTGCATCCAGGGCAGCAATAGCAGCAGCCAGCCGGCTGCCAGCAGCGACAACCTGACCTACGCCGACCTGGACATGGTGCACCTCAGCAAGGCACCCCGGCGGCCCGCCCCACGCCCCGAGGAGAGCAGCTCTGAGTATGCCAGTGTCCAGATCCAGAGGCAGTGAGCGGGGCTGGGGCTCACGGGGGTCCTGGTCCTCCCCTTCAGCTCACAGAGGAGCTTTCTCAGCAGCGCCGATGGCCATGGTACCCGTGTTCCGGGCTGGGAGTGCGGCCTTCAGCACTGTGCCTGCTCCTGGGGGTTGACTTGTGTTTGCAGACTTGTGGGATGGCTTGAGGGCTCCTTACCTTTGGGATTCCCAAAACCCTTGGCTGTGGGGACCCCTGAGTTGTGCACTGGGTTTGCTCACAGAACCCGAGGATGCGTCGCTGGAGAGCACTGCAGTGCATCGGGGTCCAGGATGGTGCCTCCAGACCAGGGGCTCCCACCTGCCTTTGGGGGCTCTGCTGTGTGGAAAACGAACTCTGGCTTTAAAGGAACGATGTCAGTGTCCACCTCTCTTTCCAAGTGTCTCTTCCACAGGCTCCTGCACTGATGCCAATAGGACTGGGGGGCTGCAGGAGGCGAGCTGCAGCCATATTGGCTTTGCCCCTTTACCAAGCATCCTCCTCCTCTGCACAGCCCAGAGATCTGTGCCCTGGGCTTGCACAAAGCACGCAGCCCCCTCCAGCCAGGCAACCCTGTGTGTTTGGGGCCACAGTGAGCCCCCCTGCCGGGCACAGCCCCGTACCCCTCAGTAACGTTTAACATGTTCTAAATGTTTGCCATGTAAGTCCTAATTTCTAGAGCTCAACCCCAATGTTTCACGTGTTGTACGTGGGTGTACTGCTGTGTACGTTGCACTATAGGGTAAGATGTGCAAAATGAAGAACAAGGCCTCCGTAAAAACCCTGGAAACCCCATAGAGCTTCTGTCTGACATGCACCCCCTGCTTGGATGTGGGCTGGGGGCACCAGCAGCTCCCTGCAGCAATGACTGGAGGGGGACATACATATCTTCTATGTGTCCCCTGCCCCAGGCCCCCCACTTCCCCATCACGTATGGGACCAGTGTGGGGTGGGGAAGCCCTGGCATTGCTTTGGGATCTGCGAGACTGCCTGTACTGACCGTGATTTTTTCTTCTCTTTTTTTTTTTTTCTTGTTGCTTGCAAGATATTTTTATAATAAAAGTGGAAAGTCCTGTGTGTTGGTGGCTTTTGGGGCTGTCGCTGTGTCACCTGCCTGTGTGGTGGGGGGCTGGCAGCTCGTGTTGTGTTCTTGAAGGGGGGTCATCCAGTGCAGCCCCAGTGCTGCAGCAAAGGAAAGAGGAGGAAGAGAGCAGCCTGGAGGTGATGCTGAGGTTGGGTGGTCAATGCTGGATCCCCAGGTATGCATCCCCCAACAGCTTAGTGTGCCTGCAGCCTGGGGCAGTGAGGCTATGGAGAAGTTCTGCCCTGGTTTTGCTTTGCTGGCACAGAGCTGCTGCTGTTGGTCATACTGTGCTCAATAGGAATGTGTGGGAATGGGATGGTTTGGTTGCTGTGCCTGGGTTCACAATCACACATGGCCTTAGGGAAGCAGTAATGGGATTTGTGGGCACTCCCAAGGCCCTGGTTTGGGATATGTGATCCCCTCGTGCTGAGGCTGGATCCCCCCAGAGGAAGATGATGCTCAGCACCCACCATGGCTTTGTTGGCATCTGCCTTTTATTGGCTGTGGAGGGAGCAGGGGGCTCAGGTGGGGTGAACCAGAGAGCGTTCTTGTATCAGGGAGGGCAGCGGGACCAAGTGGAACTAGGATGAGCAGAATGCAGACTGGGGAAAGGATGGGCATGCTCAGCCCCCTGCTGCCTTGCCACCCCTCCCTATGGCCACTGTACGGTCCCCGGCCTGCTGGCTGCATCTCAGCCCTGCTCAGTCTCATCCTTCCTGGGGCTTGGAAGCTGTTACCTCATCCACCAGCTGTGATGTTTTCCAGCCCCTGCTGTGCATCTGCAGCTGTGCCAGGGCTGGGGATGCATCCCCACTGGATGTGCTGCCAGCAGCTGGGGTGTGATACCATCCCCTGGGTACACAGGGTCCCTAAAGGCTGTGCAAGTGAACCAGAGAGAGACAACAGGGGGCAGAACTGGAGCATTTGCAGGACTGGGGTGGGGGTGGCAGAGCCCATGGCCCTTTGAGGAAGATGAGGCGAGGATGGTGGCAGCAGCTTGGAGCAGGAGACAAAGGGATGGGGATGGGGTGATGGCGGCACAGGGTCCTGTCCCATGCCAGGCTCTATAGGTCTAAGACCTCCCCTGAGTAGGCATTGGGGTCCTCATCCGAGCGCGTGGTCACCTTGAACTGCCGCCGCAGGAAGCCCCCGTAGCGCTTCTGATTGTCCCACTTGAGCTTGGGCCGGATGCGGCGCATGAAGCCCCCGTAGCGCTTGTGCAGCTCTGCCAGCTCCTGCCCCTCAGCCCCCGCACCCTCGGGCTCCTCACTCCCCCCCGGCCCCGGGTAGTTCTCAGGGGCCACCTGCTCCCCTGGACTGTGGCTGAAGCCCCCCGACTTCTTGCTGAGGCTGCCCTTGCTGTGGGTGTTGTCGCGCAGCAGGGACAGCAGCCTCCCCTTGGCCAGCGTCTTCATGAAGCCTCCGTAGCGTTTGGCTGGTGCCAGTGGCAGCTCTTCAGGGCTGGGATCCTGCTCTGGCTCTGCTTCATCATCCACCTCTGCTGGGGATGCTTCTGTCCCTTCTGTCCCCTCGGCCAGGGCCACCAATGGGGCCAGGAGTGCCAGCGCCTTCCTGCAGCTCTCCCACTCGGCGCCAGGCGGAGAGGAGCCCTGACACTGCCACAGGCACATCTGCAAGACAGTGGCTGTGACAGCACCAGCATCACCCAGCACTCGGGTACCACCACCGCATCCATCGCCATCCCATCCTCTGGATCCATGCCACCAAGCTCACAGGGAGCCAAACTTTGTGCCTTCCCAGAACCGCTAGGTGCCAGTGACCACAACCCGCAGACCATGCACCACCACCCCGCGACAACCCTGAGTTGTCCCTGCTGTTGTACCCCAATTCTGAATGCTGGGGGCTGCTCGGGGCCAACACTCACCAGGGGCTGGATGCTGCTCACGGTGCCACGTGCCTGGTTGGCACAGAGGGAGCACTGGGTTGCACAGTCAGCAGAGGCTGTTGCAGCCAGGGAGAGGTAGAGTACCAGTGCCAGCACCTGCTGTGCCATCGTGCCTCGCTGCCTGGGGAGGGTGAGAGTACACAGAGCATCACCTATCTGAACCCAGAGCTGGGAGTCATCACCTGTCCGTGCCAGAGCCTGACTGTGTGCAGCAGGCACCTATCTCTTCTGCCTGCTCCTGGAGAGCTGTGCCCGCATCCACATGACTCACCTCCAGGATCTGCTCCCAGGGGAGCGACCCAAGGGATGCTGCAGGACACTGACCCTGTGTGGGTTCACACACAAGGACCAAAGCCCCACCCCAGCCTTTGCACTGCCTGGCACGTATCATTTGCAGGCAGAGTCTCTCATTCCTTCCAGCATCACAGCTCTCTGCAATATTGCGATCGTATGTTTGTGTGGCACAGAGGGGATGAATCAGCCCTCCCCTTGGCCTTGGGGAAGAACAGTGCTGAGACAGAGCTGCTGGCAGAAGGGGATGCAGGGGATGCAGAGGCACCGGGTGACCCAACTCCAGCACAGCCTCACCCCGTGCTCCATCCCCTGCATCCCTCATCCCACCTGCTGCTTCTGCATGGGGAGGGAGAGAATGCCAATCCCACGTTTAATCCTACCTGCCGGCTGCGACCACCACCCTCCAGGCCCCGAGAGCCCTGCACGAGGCCAGGAGGGCTGCATGCCCTCCACTGTGGTTGGAGTGGGGCACCAGAACCCCCAGCAGCTCCTCCAGAACCCAGGGGCCGCAGTGCCACCAGCCCCAGGAGCAAGAGCCAACCCAACAGCATCCCACTGCCTCCGCGCCTGCTTCGATCCAAGGTGGGAAGGCATGACCCAGAGGGATCAGTTACACATTAATGACGCATATTAGAGACTATTGTATTCTTTGGCACTGTCTGCTAATGTACTCTAATTGGCGCTGATGAAGACATGTTAATGCCACGGTATTAATTCATGCTAAATTAAATTTGAATTTGAATTATCTTCACCATCGTGTGTCGAGAAATCTGAGTTCTTCAGCTGCGCTGCACAGCCCGAGTGCAGCAATGGGCACAGACAGGCACAGCAGCACTGACAGCCCCTGCTCATCTCAGTGGCACGGAGCGAGGAGAGAGGACTCACCTGCTGCTAAGGTAAATGCTGCTGTGCTATCGTGCCTGGAAGCTGCAGCCCTGTAGTGCCCCGTGCACCCGATGTGAACGTACCTCAGCACAGATGCTCCCAAGGTGCTCTGCCGTCCTGCTGCTGCAGGAGGAGGAGAGAACGGGGCAGGGAAAGGGGCAGGGCTTTAGGTGAAAGTGAGAAGAGATGCTCAAAAAAGGGAGAGACAAAAGGAAGAGGAAGAAAAATGGGGTTGGAATGGGACCTGGAGCACCCTGAGGTGAGCTCTGCCCGGAACATCCATCCTGAGGAATGCGTCTGCACGATCACAGCAGCGCTGTAAGAGACTGGGGTTGCCCTTGGTTCCTACCCATGTCCTGTGTGTGCTGCACGGCTGCTCCTTCTCTGCCCCTTTTCTGTTCAGGTTTTTGGTGCCAAGATGTAAGACAGCCCCAGGTGTGTCTGTGCACCACAGCTCTGGGTTACAGCCCCGGCTGCACCAGCACAGAGGGATGGGGAGCAACTCTGGGTGCGCAGCAGGTGGCAGAGCACAGCATGGCCACGGAGGGCTTTGCTCCCAGCCATCACCCCCTGTAGCTCTGAGCTTTTCTACACGGAGATGTCACCATGCAGTGCAGACACCTGAGCCGCGGGTGTTTCTCCCAGACAGCTTGGGATCCTACAGACACTTGTGGAGGAGCAGAGCCTGCTCCCAGCAGCTCTCTCCTCTCCTTACATTGACCTTTCGAATCACAACACACCCGGCGTTATGCCATCACCCATCCCGTTCCCTCTGCCCTCTCCCCGAGCTCAGCTTTGCTCTGGGGCTGTGCTATCTCCATATGAGCAAACAGCCATGGCATCAGCATCACCCCGAGCCCCAGCAAAGCGATGCTGTGAAACCACCGGGGGATGAGTGGGGCACCTGCAGCGACCGTGTGAGTCTTGAAATAAAGCGATAAAGCAACGAGCAAAGTGCGAGATGCTCCCAGCACGGCTGCTCAGGGATGTTTTGAAACAAACTGAGTCACACTCCCTCGAGCAGCTGTGATGCCCAGCATCAAGGTGCGTGCGGGTAAAGGGAAGGGAACCCCAAATCCATGCACCCCGTCCCTACCTGCTGCTCGCCCCGTCCCGCTGCGCTCTCAGGTCAGGCTGAGCTGGGCATGGGCCACGCTGGGTGCACACCGTACTCACCGCCCGGCGCCCGCCCGCCAGCTTTTATGGCCACCGAGTCTCCTCCTGCGGCGGGGCCCCACTCCGCTCAGCGCTGCGGAGCCAATCGGGGCGAGGAAAGCCGTGAATAATCAGCCCCGCAGCATCCCAGCCCCAGCCCTGGTGGGCTCTGTCGCTGCAGCCCCAGGGATTGGGTGTGAGCACTCCAGGTTGCTCCTTGGTCACTGCTACCCCATCGGGGTCCTCGGCATGGGCAGTAGGCAGGGGTCTCTCTTGGCTGCTGGGTGCTGAATGCAAGACCTGCCCGAGGTGTGGGAGATGGGGAGCCCCCAGCCTCATGTTCCTGGCTTGGGAAAAGCCCCAGCCTCCTGGGAAGCTTGGGAGAGGACGGAGGCCACCCAAAGGGCAAGGGGCAAACCCAAACTCCTCCTGGGGACAAACCCAAAGAGCTGAACCCAAAAGGGCTGGGGGAGAGTGGTGGTGGGAGGCAGGGAGCCCCTGCACCCTCTGCTTAGCCCCGTACCCTGGACACATTACCTCTAAGCCCATTTTGGGGATGGGCAGTACTGGGGAACACCCAACCCATGCACCGCTGTGCCCCATCAGCACTGCATCCTGACAGCCCAGTGCCCACACATTAGACCAAGGCACCCTGTCCCCATCCCATCCCATCCCATCCCCACTGCCCCACTGGCTGCAGCGCAGCCCGCCCTCTCGCCTTGAAGACGGAGCTATTTTTATCGGTGCTCAAGAGGGATGTTTCCCAGCAACCTGCCTCTCTCCCCGGCTCGAGCACCAGCTGCCGGACGCAGTGCCCGCGCTCAGCCTTCCCCGTGCACAGGGGAATGGACATGGCTGGGAGCTGGCTGCCTGCACTGCCACCACCACGTTTGGGGTGCCGCATGTGAACGGCACGTGGCATCTCATGGGTTTTGCTGGATGTGGGTTTTGGCTCACCCAGGCACCCAGGAAGCAGGGTATGGAAGGGTGAAGCAAAGGCCGAGCATCTCTCATCTCCCAGGGCTGGTGGAGGGGATGAGATCTGCGGAAGCTGTGCTGGGAGGTGGCAGTGCTGCAGGGATGGGGAGGCTCAGTCCCCATGAGGGCACAGGCAGGAGGTGTGCGGTGTTCTGGTGTGTTTTCACCCCCAGCTGAAGGTTTGCAGGCGCAGAACAAAGCCGAGAACAAAAGGCAGCCGCAAACCACAGTGGCATCCTCAGTGCTGTGTGGGCAGCCCCGGGAGGTTTCACCCTCACTACTGAGCACCACAGGGTTCCACAGAGGGTTCTCACACTGAAACCATTACATGTAGCCAGCAGCAGTCCCTATTTCATCCTGCATGTCCCCAAAACCCAACCTCCTGCTGGTGCACTTAGTTCCCATCCTGCCTTAGCGGCTCCAAGAGCCCCACCTCCAGGTGTGTGCTCAGGGATTGCAGTGTGGAGCATCCCAAAAGCAGGATCAGATCCTAGCACATGAAAGCAGGCAGCAGGATCAGATCCTAGCACACACCTGGAGCATCCCCATCCCCAGGTAATGCCCCATAGGGACTGGGGCTTCTGGAGACTGAGCTAACCCCATGGGCACGGGATGGAGCAGGTGCCTCCACCTCGCTTGCTGCAGGAAGAGATCGGGGTTCTCCCATCCCCAAAACACCGCAGCCCCCATTACTTCCTATGTGTGCAGATCTGGATGCATTCTGGTCCCTGCGGTCCGGGTGGGTGTGGGGGTGACATGGCCTTTTTGGGAAAGGTACTGCCACCAAAGCCACCCACCTGCGAGCGTAATTAATATTCATCCGTCTCTTCCTAATGGGAAACTGCCTGTGAGTCATGCTGACATTTCCCTGGGACAATGGTAATTAAGCACCTGGGTAAGAGAAATGAGCGGTAATAGAAAAGTTAAGTTCGCTTTAACTGCATCAGTTCTAAGAGGGTTCGGAGAGGAGGAGGACGAAAGTGCGAGGCACAGCGGGTGGGAGGCAGCGGCACGCAGCGTCAGCGGCACCGGGCTGTGCCCGGGGGCTGCTCCCGGCCCGGCCCCGCAGCGGTGCAAGGAGGGACCCGGTGGGGGAGGATACGGAGCAGAGAAAGGGGAGACGACAGCCGCAGGGACAGCGGCTGCGGACTGAGGGCGGCAGTGAGCGGTGTTCGGGGCTGCCTCGTGCTGAGCTGCCGTCGGCCGCACGCTGTGCCCCAGGCAGTAGGCTGGAGCAAAAGGGGCAGCCCCGCATCGCCTGCCGGGCAGGGAGGTGAAGGGCTTCCAAAGTGAACGGAGCTCGAAGCACACGCAGGAGATGCCCACGCTGGGTGCGTGCAGCCCGCAGAGCCACCGCAGGGTCTTAATCTGCGTATTTCGGGGGGATGACGGGGCGGGGGATGCGGTGCGGAGCAGAGCGGGCTCAGGGGGAACTTCACTGCTCTCTGAAAGGAGGTGGGAGCGGCTTCTGCTCACAATGGCCTCACGTTGAGGCAGGGGAGGGGCAGGTCGGGCATCAGGAGAAATTTCGCCTCGGGAAGACCGGTGCTGCTCTGGGCACAGATTGCCTAGGGTGGGTGTGGGTGTGCGGGGCGGATGTCACCATCCCTACAGGCGTTCCAGAACGTGGAGATACGGCAGCAGCGGATAGAGCGGGGCAGGCCGACCGCGCACAGCCGTTCCGTCCCCACCGTTACATAAGGCCACAAACCCCACCGGGGCGGAGCGCTCCCCACGGCCGCGGTGTTTACAGCCGCGCCGCGCGCACCAACCCGCGGGGGAGCACCTGGCCGGACGCGCGCCGCTCTTGTCGCCTTCCGCGCCGAGGCGCCCCGCAGACGGCACAGGCAGCCCCTCCCACCCCTACGGCCCCGTCAGCCCCGCGTCTTCGCCGCGATTCCCCCCCCGCGGGATGCGCCCCACCCCGCCCCGCGCCGCGCTCCCCCCCCGACAGCGCAGTGGTACGGCCCGGCGCACCGCGATTGGCCGAGCGCTTAAAGGGGCCGGCAGGGCGCGCTTTTCCGCCCTCCGATGCGGCGGCGCGTGCCCCCTCGCCCGCTCGGCGCTCCCCGGCGCGGCGCTCCGCGGGGCCAGGCGGGCGAGGGGGGGGGGGCGCGAGCGGGGCTCCCCCCGCGGCGCTGCCATGGAAACGGCGGACGGCGGCCGCCGAGGGACACAAAGGGCGGCGCGGCGGCGGCGGGCTGCGCGGCGCGGCCCCATGGCGGCGGCGGTAGCGGAGGAGGAGGAGGAGGCTGCGGCGGTGGGCCCGGGGCCGGGCGGTAGCGGCGCGGGGGCCCCTCGGTACCGCCTGCTGGCCGAGATCGGCCGTGGGGCGTACGGCGTGGTGTACGAGGCGGTGTCGAGCCGCAGCGGAGCTCGGTTGGCGGTGAAGAGGATCCGTTGCGACGCCCCCGAGAACGTGGAGCTGGCGCTGGCCGAGTTCTGGGCGCTGACCAGCCTGAGGCGGCAGCACCCCAACGTGGTGCGCTTCGAGGAGTGCGTGCTGCAGCGGCACGGCCTGGGGCAGCGCATGAGCCACGGCAACAAGCGCAGCCAGCTCTACCTGCGGCTGGTAGAGACCTCCCTGAAAGGTACCGCCCCGCACCTGCCCCGACCCCCGGCTCCTTCCTGCCCGGGTTTCCCATCCCCCGGTCCGTCCCTGTGTCCCCCTCTCTTAGGGATTCCCTCCTAGCTCGGTTCCTATAGGCTGCTGGGCTCCCCCGATGTCCTCCCCCAGCCTTCCAGCTCTGGAGCCTCCCCATGGATGCTCCCATTGTACCCTTTTTCTTTCTCTCCGTCTTTGTCACCCCATTGCTTAAATCCCTCCTGCGCTCAGGCAGCCCTCCCTGCTTTCCCCAAGCTGCCCCCAACTTGTTCAGCTCTTCTCCATCTCTTTTACTTTACAACTTTTTCCCCCACTCAGCCCTGCATTGCCCGCACTGTGCTGTGTCCCCTGACCCCATTCTCTCCCTCCCTCTGCTGCTCACAGGGACCCCTCTCCTCCTGCTTTCCTCCTCTGCAGCCCTCCTATTTTGTGTTCCCATTGTTACCTCCAGGCTCAGGCACATCCCTCTGTGCCTTCCCCATCCCTCCATCACACCCCATTTCTGCTGCTCTGCCCACTGCCACAGCCCTATGTGTGCCTTCGGTCCTGCTCCTGCGCAGCCCCATCTCCTCCAAGTGCCCTGAGGCTGTGACCCCACTTCTGTGGTGCCCTCTGTGTTCGCATGGGCTCTGGCAACTTTGGGACCATTTTCTGTGCTCTATCATCCCTGCTTCTCCATCACTCTGCTGTAGAGGGATGGCTGCCACTTCCCCTGGGTCCCCTTGGCAGCATCACACAGCTGCTGGGGTCACCTCCTGCCACCACCGATGACTGTGATGGGGACATCTCCAAAGCGCTCTCTTCCTCTGCTCCTTTGGCTGCTGTCAGGCCCAGCTCTGCCAATATGTAGTGAAGAGGTGAAAAAATACTGGAGCCCCATCTCCTGTGTGCCCCCAGTGCCTCTCCAGATGCCTGTGCCCCTTGGGGGTTTGGTGTCCCCTTGTGGAAGGCTGCAGAGCTGACCTCTGAGCAGATCCACAGCTCCCAAACCCTTGAGAACATCTCTGGACCTGTGTGTGACCCACATGGCCCTGAGCCTGGCTTCTTTTCACTCCTCACACGCACATCCAAGGCAGTGTCCCCAAGAAGGGCACTACCCTATTCTTTGTGCACCCCTGTGAAGTGGGTGCCTGCCTACCACACAGAGAGCTCCTGGTGGTTGGGGTCTCTTGCCCCACTTAGGCAGCATGTCTCAGGGAAGGCTTTTGAGGAGCTGTCAGTGCTCCCCACCCATCTGCAGGCAGGTGGAGAGCCCTCTATTCCTTGCAGAATTACCTCCCTGCTGCTGGGAGAGCTTTGCTTGCCTTAGTCCCACTTCAGCTTCTCCCTCTCTGTGCCTGCATTCCAAGTTGTGTTATCTGCCGGTCCCAGGCAGGGGCAGAGGCTGTGCTCACCACCTTCCCCACCTTTGGCTTTGATACCGTACTGATAAATATTGCTACAGCAGAGCCAGGAGAGCCCCTGAGCTGCCCGTGTTCCCTTCTTGCCCACAGCACTGCCGGCTGAGGCAGCAATGGGCACGTGGCTGTGCAGCCGTGCCATTCTGCACGACCGCAGCGTGGCTATTTACAGGCTGCACAGATGCTGTGCCAAGGCTCCCGGCTCAGGGTGTGGGGGGGGGATTAATCTGAGGCTCTTTCTACATCAGGAGCGTAACTGTCGGGATACCAGGCTATGCCAGGTCGCAGCTACAGCGTTCAGCCATCATCTCCATCGTGTTAAATTGATTATGCCATGTCTCATTTGAGGCAGAATGTGAAAAGGCACTGCAGTGCGCAGTGCTGAGCCTCAAGGAGAGGTGTGGACTTGAGCAATGTGCTCAGTGCCCCAGTGTGTGCACACCTCCAGGTTCTTGTGCATGGCTGTGTGCACTGTTAGCTGCTCCTGACACACAGCAGCGATGGGCAGAGCTGCTTTGTTCAGTGAGCAGAGCTGGGGCTGTGCTCCATGGCACGTCGCCCACGGGTCCAGGTGCCTGGCTTCATGCTGCTGGCTCCCTTCTCTCCAGTACAACGTCTTTGCACAGTGGGAGTTAGAGGTTCCATGCAGCACTGGGGAGTGGGAGGCTGGTTCTGCTGGCATTAGATTGTTCCCAGTGATGCTAAGCAAATTAGCAAGCTGCTAATGAGCTCCCAGGACAGGCTGCAGGGTAGTGGCTGTGGGGATGGAGGGTTGCACACTTGGTGCCGGAGCTCTGGGCTCTTGTCTGTATCCCTTCAGCTCTTGGCAGCTTCTCTTGCTAAACTCTCATCTTTAAGAAGTGGCTTGCCAGCTCTTTATGTTTAAAGCTGTTTGTTTTGATGGCAGGAAGATGATTTAACAACTCAAACACTTTCACATTATAGAAGGAAAATGAGGAAATATTACTCTTGGCTTCAACCTCTCCCAGCAGCGCTCCACCCAAAGTGAAGTGCACCGTGCTCCCAGCTACTGCTGGGTCAGCGGCGTCCTCCCTGTGCCTGCGGAGCTGTGGGGCCACATCTTGAATCTGAGCCTTTGTTATGCTGAGCCCAAACCTCAGCATGTCAAAGCCAGCGGGTCTTTGCTGCTTTCCCCTTGGGATGGGGCTGCTGGGAAATGCTGTCTCCTCCCACCTGTGTTCTGTGCTGTGATGCTCCCATCTCTGTGCACATGGCACTGCTGTGGTTCCTCGTGCTGCAGGCTGACAGGAGCTCCCTGATCCCTCGTGCTAGGCACTGTGCTCAGCATTTTGCAGACCCCAGGTGGGAGCTGTTGCCTCCCTTCCCCCCCCTCCACCCCACATCCCAGCTCTACTCCTCATGCTCTGCTGAGGGCGGGGAGGTGCAGCCAAATCTTTGTGTTGTGCAGGATTTGATTTCCATAGCAGTAGCCATGGATACAGACTGTTTGTGCAAATAACCAGTATTCCCACCCACACCAATCGCTGACCATTGTGGATGCCAGAGAGCCTGGGGCTCGATGGTGCTGGTAGTGCTTGGCTCTACCTGCTGCTGGGAGTTTGCTTTCCCAGATGATCTGCAGGCCTTTGCTAAGAGAGAAAAAAATAACTTGGTAAAGTAGGTGGAGTTCTTGAAGTGGTTTCCAGACACTCAGACTTGCCTGTGCTTTGCTGACTGTGGTAGAGGCAGTTGGATCCATCAGCATGGCTGAGATTGCACTTAAACATAGTTGGCTACTTGAGCTTCCAGTTTGTTCTCTTTGAAGACCTGTTGGTGTTTCACTAGAGCTGTAGGAAAGGGGCAGAGCTCTCTCAGCACAAAGACAGTGCCTAAGCAGCGTGCATCTGGCCTGAGAGCAGCTGGTGTGCTGCAGGACTCTGGCCCTGGCAGTGTTGGGTGTGTGGGTGACTCCACTGCTTCCCTGGGCAGCCTGCCCCAGTGCATCTCGTTCCTAAAACCTTTACTATCTTCATAAACCAGCCTCGTGTCTTGCCCTTGTTCTGAGTTAGTGTGGACACCTTCCAATGTGCCTGTCAGAACTCACTCTTTGTTTCTTTTTGCTCCATTTTGGTAAGGTGAGAGGATCCTGGGCTACGCGGAGGAGCCTTGCTACCTCTGGTTCGTCATGGAGTTCTGTGAGGGGGGGGACCTCAACCAGTACGTGCTCTCACGACGACCCGACCCTGCCACCAACAGGAGCTTCATGCTGCAGCTCACCAGTGCCATCGCCTTCCTGCACAAGAACCACATTGTCCATCGGGACCTGAAGCCAGACAACATCCTGATCACAGAGAAGTCCGGCACCCCCGTTCTCAAGGTGGCTGACTTTGGGCTCAGCAAGGTCTGTGCTGGTCTGACAGCTCGAGGCAAGAAGGGTGGCCACGAGAACAGAAATGTGAATGTGAACAAGTACTGGCTGTCTTCGGCTTGTGGCTCTGATTTCTATATGGCCCCCGAGGTCTGGGAGGGGCACTACACTGCCAAGGCTGACATCTTCGCCCTCGGTATCATCATCTGGGCCATGATTGAGAGGCTCACCTTCATTGATGCTGAGACCAAGAGGGAGCTGCTGGGGACTTACATCAAGCAGGGGACTGAGATCGTGCCCGTCGGGGAAGCGCTGCTAGAAAACCCAAAGATGGAGCTGCACATCCCTCAGAAACGCAGGACTTCCATGTCTGAGGGCATCAAGCAGCTTCTGAAAGACATGTTGGCTGCTAACCCGCAGGATCGACCTGATGCCTTTGAGCTTGAAACCAGAATGGACCAGGTTACATGTGCTGCTTAAATTCAGGGCAGGGCACTGCTGTGCTTTGCAGCTGGGTAAGTGATCGGTAGTTTTTATATTATTCTGTCTGCTGTCCAGCCTGTTAATGCACTTTGTAGTGACACAATGGAGTCCTTTATGTTCCCAGAGCTATTTCTATAGTGACTCATCAGAGCTCTGTTTCTGAGTGGTGCTTTTTTTCCCACCTATTCTGTTGCAGCAGTACAGTAGAGGTGAGAAGCAATGAGCAGCTGCATGTCCTGGTGCTGCCCAAAGCCCAGGCACAGCTCTGCTCCTTGGGGCTGGGCTGGGGAAGCATGTTGAACACCTGGCATCAGCTTTGGGTGTGTTGGTCCCTTCCAGAGACAGGGAAGGAGCTGCCCCTTCTGTCTCCTCCATGTGCTGTGATTTCAGCAAAGCTATGAGAGCTCTTATCTCTCAAATACGGTGCTCCTTCCCCACTGATATTAGGGTAGGGCAGCTCAGGTCTTGGCTGGCCTGCAGGGGAGGCACTGAGCTGAGTGGCAGGTGGGTTCTGGCACAGACGTGACTGTTTTCCTTGCTTTCACTTGCAGAGCATGTGCATCCATCTCATTTCATTTCCTTGCTAAAGGCAGGACTTCAGTGCCAAGCACAGTTGCATAAACCCAGTGGGATGCTTTGGTGTTTAACATCCGAGCTGAGATCTGGGTCTGCTCAGGAAGGAAGCTTACAGAACATCTGTGCTCAGATGGAGCTTAGTTCATGCAGAGTCCCTCCCTTTTCCCCCAGGCTCAGGTTCTAAATAGTCCTGAACTTGGCTTCTGCTGCGTCCTGGTCCTTAGTGGAGGTCTGGAAGGACACCCATGGATGTGGGATAGCTGGTTGTGTCACTCAGCAGTGACACCAAAGGAATGAGCAGTTCTGCCTTTATGGTAAAGCTGTCTGTAAACAAGAGCTGTTACTATGGGATTCTCCTGGCCAAACACTTCAATGAAACTGGAAAATGACAGATTACAGGGTGAGGCAGATATCTTTCCAGCCCTGGTCTTTCACAGGCTGCTTCAGAGCTGGATGGTGCTGCTCCCTGACTCTTACCAGAAACCAAACAGATCCTTCTGGATCAAAGTGAAGCACAGATACAAGAGGGCAAAGAGAGCCAGAACTGCTGCTGTCACTGGCACACACCCAGCTGTCAGCTTTGTGGTCAATGGCTGTGTGCCATCCACTGCCATTGCAGGGTGCAATGGGGAAGGCAAGGCCACTTTGGCAGGAGGTGCTCCAAATTCTCCTTGCTGCTCATCTGAGTGTTCCCAAGCTCATGAGGAATGATGTGCCATCCGTGCAGAGTCTGCACACACTGCTTTGTGGTGTGCCACGTAGCTTCTGTGCTGCCTCCAGCATCTCTTGGTGGTCCTCTGCCTGGGACTGCTGCGCTCCAGCAGCCAGTATGGAATGTGCTTTTAGGGGATGGGCTGCTGGGGCTTATCCAACTCGTGGCACTCTTACCTTCTGTAGAAAGTGCTTGAAGTGAACCCCAGAGAAACAGGAATACAGAAATGGGAAGCTCCTTTGGTAGGTGTGGTGTCATCCCTCCTGGTTTGTCCAAATTGGTCCGTGAACCACCTCCTTTCCTCTCCTAGCACAAAATGCACTAAATCCCTCGAAATTTCCACCGCAACTAATTGATGTGATGTGACAGAGTCTGCCAGGGGCTGGGGTTTGGTGCTGGTCCTGGTGTGAACGTGGGTTGGGGATTAGAGCAGGGCCATGACCTGTAGCAATGCGAGTGCTTCAGGTGTGAAGAAGTCCTGGGTGCAAAGCAAGGCACCCCACCTTGCACCCTGGGGCAAGGGATGAGGCTTTTAGCAGGGCAGGGATGTGCCTGCTCAGAGCTGGGGCTGTGCAGGGAGGGTCAGGCTTTGCTGCTGCCATCTGCGATCACTCGCCCCGCTGACACGATGCTGCTGGGTTATGCAACCAGCCTTTGCCCTCCGGGGAAAATTCATCCTGCGCATATCTGCAGAATAGTACACGCAGGGATAACAAACATGGAGGGGACAGTCCTACCCTGGGGCTGTTTGCATAAAACTCAGCTGCCTTCTCAGCCCCCCCCCCCTCCATCCGTCCGCCATGAGCTGCCACTGATTGTCTGGGGGTGACGCAGCTGCAGTGGAGATGCTGTGCTTACATAAGGCAGCGTGGCCCAGATAGGAGCCTGGCACTGGCCGTATGCTCCCTGCAAACCCACAGCAGTGCACTGTGCAGCAGGAGCATTCCTCCTGTGTGCTTTTGTAGGGCAGTGGAATTGTCTGGGTGCTTTTCCTATAGGGCTTCTGAATGCATCGTGTGTGCGTATGTTCAAACCAGCCTACCTCTGTGGGGCTTTCATTTAATGCAAAGCTTAAATCGGAAGCTTGAGAAGCTTAAAATGGGATTTAGGGCAGGGCCTGAATTCTGCTCTCAGGTAATTTAAGTTGACCGGGAAACTGAAGTAACCTCTGCCTGCTTACTTTGGGCATCGCGTGCAGTGCAGGACTGGGCAGTGAGGTCCCCTTTCCAACAGCCCCAGCCCCTGTGCAGACCTGGCCCACATCATGACCTGGAAAACTGTAACCCTGATCCCGGAAATCAGATTTTCCCCCATCCTTCATCTCTTCTGATCGTGCTTTGCATCCCAGCAGCTCTGCCTTCAGTCCTGCTGCGGATGCTGCACAGACCTGCTGCTCGCCGTGCCTCTTATTCTGTTATCTTGCAAAACAGAAGGATTTGGTGTCAGCTCCCAGCCAGCACAGTGCTTCTGGCCTTGCTTTCAGCTGAGCCGGGGTTAGATGAGCTTATCACTGCCTGCCCCCCAAGGCAGCAGCATGTCCTGCAGAGGTGGGTGGCATTCCCTGGGGATAACATCTTTTCTGAGTGTTGCTTCCTCATCTCCTGAAGTACTGGTTTATCCAAACCTGAGTTTGCTGTTCCCACAGATGTGCCTTTTTGGGCAAAGGGTCAAAAGCCTTTCTTATACATCAGTGGTTGGGTTGTGCTGAGTACCTGCTGATAGCCTCCTGATTGCCATGTGACAGCCCAGCCCCGACTGCAGCAAAAGCAGTATTTCGCCCTTCCTTACTGATACAGCAAGGTTCTGTAAACTGAAAAGCAGCTGGATCTGGAGTTGTTTTGCTGTGCCTTGCTGCCCTTGCTCCCTAGGGACCTCCATTCACCCATCAGCAGTTGGAGCTCACGCACAGGTGCAAGTCCCCTCCTTGCTGGGTTGGTTTCTTGCAGCTCTGCCCTCATCTCCTCTTCCCCTGGGTCCCCTTGTGGGTGTCACTGTCTATGCCCATCATTCTCATAGCTGCCTTCCCAGGCAGTGTTTGTGCAGGATGCACTGGGCACTCATTAGCCAAGCTCATAGATCCTTAGATGCATAGAATGTCCTGAATTGGAGAAGATTCGTGTAGATCATGCAACACCTGGCTCCACACAGCACACCCAGGAAGTCGTTGAGGTGTGTGGTGCAATGGGAGTCTGTGTGCTGCTCACTAATCCTGTCACAGAAAGAAAGGGATCACAAAGGGCAGCATCGCCCACCGCCACAATTTAACACGTAAGAAAATGTGTACTTTTAATTTCTGTAAGATGCCAAACTGCAGTAGTTTTGTTCAGTGTGGAAGGCAGCTTGTTCTGTAAGTCATATTCTGTAGTGAAACAGGATTTTTGGGATAGCAGGCGGGAATGTGAATGCAGAGTGATTCGGGCTGAGCAGAGGTGCTGCCCTCAGCTTTGCCCCATGTTCTGACACTTTCTGGTGGCAGCTGAAAGTAACTGCTGGCATTTGCCTTGTTCTGTTTGCATCTGCAAAATCATAGAATCAGTGCAGCAGGGCTGATACTGAGCAAGCTCATCTGTGCAGTGGCACCTCTCTCTGATGAGCACATCTGCACAGACACCTGAGCGCTGTCAGTAAGCAGCTGACCTGTAGGAATCCACCTCTGAAGGGCAGGGATCAGTGCACGTCAGAAACAGCTCTGGCTGTGAGCTGCCAGCGAGAAGGCTGCTGTGTTTGGGTACATTGTGTCTGTTAGGGCATCAGTAAAAGTGCCCTGATGCTGCGGGAAGGGACCTCATCAGCGTGTCAGGGAAATGTTGGGCATGGTTTGTCAGTCCTGGCATGGACAGAGCAAGCCATGGGGTGACAGCAGCATGGTTAGTTCCTCTTGGCCGTGGCAGCAGCTGCAGCACCTCTGGGCCACCCTGCAGGGCACCCTTCAGGCAGTGTCACATCCATCTGGAGAGGAGCAGAGCCCTGGGCAGGGCTGGGTGGCTGCACCTCTGGCAACACGTGGCTTTGCTGCTGTGAGTCCCACATCCCTTCAGGGAAGGCTCTGGGGTTGGATTGAAGGGAGCTGCCAAGGAGCCCTGCACGTGTGTTTGTGGGAGGATGTGGGGGTACAGTGGGCTCTCAGCCCCCTCCCTCGCACCCTGCATCCCCACGCAGGGCTGGATGATGTGTGCACAAGGAGCTGCCAGCTTATGTCTTCATGCCTTGGTGAGACCCTCTGCTACCCTGAGGACCACGTTCTCATCTCCATCTGCCGTAAGCTGCACGTTAGTGTCATCCTCATCAGTGCTGCGTGAGGGCTGTGGGCTGCTGGTTCATGTTCTGCTGATGCTGAGCGAACATTCGAGCTGATTAAAACTGGAAGTGGCGTCAGCAGGGGTATTAAAAGCTCTTGAACAAGCCCAGAAACAGCATGCGTCAATGCAGCGAGCTTGGAAGCAGTCAGACCAGGATCTTCCTTGAACTGCTCCTGCTCCAGGGAGGCGTGAATAGCAGCAGCACAGCCCTACTTGCTGATGGAGCTGTACCACAGGAGGAATCTTACGGACAATTCTTCACTCTGTTGCTCCTGCCCTGGTGTCCCAGTGCCTCCCACAAGATACAGAACAGCTTCTCTCTGATCCCAGCTGAGTGCAGGCAGCCCTGGCCCCTTCCTTTAAAAGTAGATTCTGCAGGCGTGGATTTCTTTAATGGGATTTCCTGGGACTAAGGGATTTGAATCATTTGCTGGGTAGTGGTTATGGCACAGTTTGTCTGTGGAGCTGGGGGGACATGGCTGTGCTCCCAGCACCATGAAGGGAAAACCAAATTCCCCATTTTCTCCATGTTATGTTTCTCAGAGCTGAAGTTTTGGGGAAGATTCAACTGCTGTTAGTTGTGGGGAAAACTATGTCATGAAGCAGCATGCTGCCCTAGGTTTGAAGGTTTGTGCATTGTTTAACCAGGAGAAAAAAAGCTTCTGTGCAAAGCTGAGCTCTGCCTTCCCTGAGCGCGGTGCAGGGTTGCCCCTCCTGCCCCAAAATCCAGGCTCTGAGCATCCTCAGGGGCTGCACAGAGTGTGGCACTGCTCTTGGTTGCATCCAAGTGGATTTTAGCAGCCTCTTGCAGAGCACTCAAGAGCCTGAGCTGCTGCTGACGCACAGTACGAGAGGTTCAGTGTGACCCCAAAGTCCTGGTGTGTTCTGTGCTCAGTCACATACAGGTCCTCAAGGACAGTGCCATCACGGGCAGTGCTGAGGCTTTACCTTGCAGCCCATTCCTTCAGTTAAAATTTGCTTAAAAAAATCATACAATACCCTGAGTTGGAAGGGAGCCACAAGGGTTGTAGAATGGTTTGAGTTGGAATTGACCCTTAAAGGCCATCTGCCCCAAGCAGTGCACAGGGACACCCACGGCTCCATCAGTGCTCACAGCCCCCAGCCTGACCTGAGTGCCTGCAGGGATGGGGAACCCACCTCACCTCTGGGCAGCCTGTGCTACTGATTCCCTGCCCTTATCATAAAGAACAACTTCCTAATAGTGAACCTAAATATCCCTGCTGCATGTGCAGAGTTCCCCAATTCCCAATTCAGTGATTGATTGTATCTTCCTCCAGTGCACAGCATCTCCTAACTGAAGAACTAACATCCTACAGGCGGTATAATGAAGTTAATTAATTAAAGGTGGCTAAGGGGAGGAAAGTCTCACTGCAGTAACAGGGACAAAACCATGCACATATCTGATCTCTGTTTCTCCTTTCTTGTTTTTCCTGCAGGTTTATTTACCAGGGACCCATCATCTCCATTACGTGCAACAAGATAAGGGAAGGTGACAATACAAAAGATCCTCGGTCTTCAGGATCTCTGGCAATGTGAAATGTTTGGGTGTTTGTTTTGTTGGTGAGCGGTGTTTGGGGGGCACAGGGGAGCTGCAAGGGCACAGGCTGGGCACTTATCGTGCTCACCTAGACTATTGAATGAGATCCAGAACACAGAGCTGCCCTGCCCAGCTCTCCCCATGTCCCCCTGCTCTGCAGTTGGACTTTACAAGAGTTAATAGGCAGCTGTGGTCTGCTGCCAGACAGGATTGCTGAGCCCAGCCGGGCACAGGTTGGGTTTTAAAGCTATTGTTTCCACCTAGGAAATGGGTTTGCATCTGGAGTGCATTGCTTTAGAGGTGAGTCTTACAGAGAGTGCATTGCAAGCAGTAGAATGTCTTCACAGCCAGGCAGCTTCTGGGTAGGTGCATGCTGCCTGCACTAGAAACAGCTGTTGTTAGGTAGAGTAGCATAAGCTGGAAAGGCAGTGGGGAGTCAGCACTGCCCTGCGAGGGGCAGAGCCTTGTCTCCCTAATCTGGATGTCATAGAGATGTTTGTTAGGGGCACACAGCTAATGGGGAGTGTGTAGGTACATTTCGGCTGCGTACACGAGAAACTGAAAACAACCCACTACTCTGAGCCACTTGGTGCCAAACTTCAGTTGTGAGGAGCGGTGCTTGGGAGAGAAGGTTTGGCCTCAGTGGCTCATGGGCTGGATCCTGGCCTGCTGTAAAACACTTTTTCCTTCTAGGTAACTGTCTCAATAAAGTAAAGCTGGTTGTAGTTGCTTGGTTGCAGTCAATACAGCTCAGGTAAGGAGACTGGAACCTCAGGCCGATCAGTTAACACTCAGTCTCTTTGCCTATATTGTAGCAACACTAACACTCTGGGGCTGTGTTGCTTGTCTTTAGACATTGCTCACTGTAAATGCAGTGTACAGCACCACCTCTTTTCCAACCTCTGGGGCCTGGACAAGCTAAAATGTTCCCTGCTGAGCTGACGCTGTCAGCATCAGTCTGGGGGGCAGCATCACTGCCACTGTTCAGCCTCCACAGCGCCAGGGCTCAGGCAGAAGGGGGTCCCTTGGATCCCACTGCCCCCCCCCAACTGTTGGCATTGCCCTTCCCCTGGGCAGAGTTGGATGGCCCCACTCATGCCTAGCATTGCCCCAAGGGCCATGGTGAGCTGAGAACTGATCTCTCTTGTTCACAGTACAGTGTTAGTGCCCTACTCCAAACCTTCATTCCTCCACCCAATAGAGCCTTTGTTGCTTAGTGACTGTCCCTGGCATGAACTGGTGCATGCAGGAGGCTATACCCCCCTCATGGTTTACTCTTCTGGAAGGGTACCTTGCTGGGAGAAGCCAGCTTTCCAGCAGGAGGTCTGCACGCAGGACATGGAGGTGGGAGGTGAGCACTGGGGAAAGTACCCCCTCCTGGCCCATTGCAGGTTCAGGCCATCTTCAAACCACACGTCTTCACCTCAGCTTTTGCATTTCAGATGTGTTTGTAAAGCAGCTTGATGTTAGCGAGCTAGACCGTAGTGCCTTACTTAGGAGTTAGCAAACACTTCCGAGGACAAGCCCTAGGCTGCTAGCCTTTGGCCAACATGGATGTTTCCCTGTTAATTTGCCCTTTTCAAAGCATTTCTCCCTGATGATTTTGCTGCTGTTTGCGCTCGATTCCTGGACGAAGCTGCCTTGTGTTTACAGCTCCTAGCACCTCTCCTCCAATTGCTTTAGCCCAGACCAAACTTGTTCTGTGGAGCGAGGTGGCAGCATCGGGTGTCTCTGCCCACCTGGAACTGTCGAGCATCTTCTGCGGGCTGAACCCTGCGGAGGGAGTTTTTGGCATTGAGCTGCATCGCTGGGAATGTTCAAGCTTAGGATAGCAACTCCAAGGCTGGGACCAGGGCAACTCCATCCTCCTGGCTGGAGCAAAGCATCCAAGTATGGAGGGGGTTGCTGTCATGGGGGGGATCCAGTGCCCTTCCGCTGCCCTTTGGGCTTTGCGGGGTCCAAGCTGAGCCCAGCGCTGGGGGTGATTGTATGAAACTGTTTACTTCTGACTGCTGTTTACAAGAGGGAGGTGGGTTGGGGGGTGGGGAACAAGCCAAGCCTCAGGAGGATTGGGGAACACGTTATCTGCACCAGCCTGCAGCAGGGCTGGCTGTCAGCACCATGTGGGTGTGCAGGCAGCTCTGCAGGCAGCGTCGGTCTGTGGAGAGCAGAGCAGAGGGGTTAGGTGAGCTCCCCTGTGCTGCTGTGTTTGAGGCTTAACGGTGCTAGTGACAGATAAGAGTTACCCTTGTGGTCTTCCTTTACTCCTCAGGACCCAGCTCCTTCACATATCAGAGGCTCCCAGAGCCTTTCTGGAGCAATAAGATTTTAAACAAGCATTTACCATCGTTGTGGAAATCCTCTGTTGTGTGCGTCGTATGTCTCCTCTGTATGCAGTACCGAGGCTGGGTTTAAGCCTGCTGATTGCCATGGGAGGAACATGAGCTGCTTGCTCCATGCTGCAGTGTGACAATGCCACGTCCCACCTGTGGGGCATGGGGACACCCCTCCCCCCTGAAGGCAGAAGGCTTAAACCCAGACTCCAAAGTAAAGTTAATAATATTAGTAAATGAACCTGTATTACTTCCCTTTTTTTTTTTTTTTTTCCCTTGCACAGAAGCTGGTGATCTAGGACCTATGTGTAAACAACTTTATATAAATGTTTTTTTTTGTACTTGGTTTACTCGGGTTGGTGTGAGACGTTCTATTTAAGTTTTGAACACTGTGGATACCCTGATGTGTATGAGTGGCAGAGGCTTTGTAAATTAAGAGACGTTTGTGTGAATAAAGTTGTTTGATGGGGTTGAAAAGCCACACCATTTGAAATAGAGTTCCGTGCATTTGTTCCCAGCTGTGCTGTTGGCAACACGTTTGTATGGGCAGGACTCCCCACACAATTAGAGGGGGTTACATCCACCACGGTTGGACTTGGAGAGGCAAAAAGAATGAGCAGCCCTGCCTGCCACCACCAAGGAAAATACCCCACAGAGCTGATACTTCAGTAGCTACCAAACACAGCCTGTCCTTGCACAGATGCTCTAGATCCACAAGCCAAAACTCACCCTTCACAGCATCTGGAGCCCCCATGCCACCATTGGCATCCAACAATAGGAAGAGCTCAGAGAAGATGAGCTGTGACAACAAGAAACCCTCCTTCGTGCAGGGAAAGGCAGCCAGTGATGTCCTGAGTGCCAAGGACATGAGGCCACCCCTGAGCAGGCAAAGGGACACGAGGCCAAGCTGTGCCCTTGTGTGACAGCTCCCCTTGCCCAGCCATCACTGCTGTGCTGCATAATTGCTGCAAACAGACACCCAAAGCAGATGCTTCCAGCCCCATGGGGCTGGCTGGCCCCAGCTGCCACAGTGTTAACAGGCAAGTGCTGGGAGCAAGTTGTGTTCCTGCCAGGAGCTCCAGGCACCAAGTGGGGAACCTTGGGGCTGAAGGGCATAATCTGTGGGTGACACACAGTGAGGGCAGCCCTGGTGTTCGGAGCCCCAGTCCCACCTTGGAGCAACCTTCCTGCAGGGGGGGGAAGAGGCTGGAGAAGCTGCAGGATCTCTGGGTTGGCTGCAAGCAGTGGTAACACCTACAGCACAAGTGGATCATCAGCTTATGTGAAAGCACACACCCAGCAAAGCCCAGCTCTTCTGTACCAGGAGCACAAGTCCTTCCAGGGCACAGCTGTAGCAGCTGCTTTCCAGAGTGCAGCCCTCAAGAAGTCCTGCTTTCTTATATTTCCTAGAACAGTTTGTCAAAACCAGACCCCTGTCTGTGTAACAAGACAATCACCAGTGCAGCTGCCCCCTCAGCCCATTTCCCACTGGCCGAGCACATGCATGGATGGACCATTGGTCCCTTGGTGCTCCCCAACCTCCTTGGAGCAGCATAAGGGTTTGCAGCAGAAAATGCTGCTGGAATTTCCCCATTTTAAAGCTACACTGGTTAGGGGGGGGATGGCAAAACATGCTTTGCTTCTGGAGAGGTAGCTGCCCCCATGACAAGCTGTGCTCCAATGCCCTCAACAACACAGTGTTGTTAGCTTGGTTCCTGCAGATGTGGTGATGGAGCTTGGGGAGGCCAGGTCAGCTGGCACGTGTGCCACCACACTGCACAGTGAAGGTGCAGGAACAGGTGACCATGCAGCCGACAGGCAAAAAGCTTTTAAACATCATTAGCAGAAAGAGCTTGGTGTCAGTCACAAGGAGAAACATTTCACTCTGGATTTGCTCTCTGGAGACCTATTTCATATGCAAAGAGGGCTGCTAAACTCCAAAAAGACACTTCAGTTACTTGAGAGCTGAAAAAATACACCCCAACAATTCCTGGCCTTTCATCAGCCAGGCACGTGCACCTGCAAGAGCTGCACATGGCAAAGCTGTAAGCAGGAGAAAGGCAGCAGGGCCAGGGCAGGATAGGCACCAAAGAGACAATCAACAGCCACCATG